GAAGGGAGGAGAGAAGAAATTTAAAAAAACAAGACATTCAAGAAGGAGAGAAAGGAAGAGAGAGGAGGAGACAGATAGGTATAGAAATGTGTTGGCGAATTTCATTGACAGAAGGGTAGGTGGTTGATATGGTGGTAAGACGGTAATATATATAGACAGATATACAAAGGCATCTACATTTGGAAAGATACGTGTATACATTCATACATACATACATGCATACACACATACATGCATTCATTCATACATACATACACACACACATTCTACACACATATCGAGCGAGAGACAAACTGAAAAAAAAAAAAAAAAACTGAAAAAGCGACAGGCAAGCAAACATTACAAAAACAAACTCTGCATAAGTTTCAGAATCCGCACGTCCGCATCCAGAGGGGCGTGACAGTTTGCATAATACCGTGCCAATGCGCCAACTCACATTCTTTCGCGGCAAAAAAAAAGGCATATGTATTTCCGCTTATGGCTAAAACTTCTCACGTGAAATCTTCCAATGTGGGTGATCCTGTCTCTTTCTCTCTCTGTCCGTCCGTCCGTCTGTCTGTCTCTTTCTCTGTCCATCTCTGTCCATCTCTGTCCATCTCTGTCCATCTCTGTCCATCTCTGTCCATCTCTGTCCATCTCTGTCCATCTCTGTCCATCTCTCTCTCTCTCTCTCTCTCTCTCTCTCTCTCTCTCTCTCTCTCTCTCTCTCTCTCTCTCTCTCTCTCTCTCTCTCTCTGTCCGTCCGTCTGTCTGTGTCTTTCTCTGTCCATCTCTCTCTGTCCTTCTCTCCTTCTCTCTTTCTCTCTTTCTCTCTTTCTCTCTTTCTCTCTTTCTCTCTTTCTCTCTTTCTCTCTTTCTCTCTTTCTCTCTTTCTCTCTCTTTCTCCTCTTTCTCTCTCTCTCTCTCTCTCTCTCTCCCTCTCTCTCTCTCTCTCTTACTCCCTCACCTTGCAACATGTTTTATTCATATCAGTTTCATCATTTAATTCGTTCTCACCCCCCACCACTCGTACCCCCATACCTGAACCCCCCTCAACTACTCTCCCCCTCCCCCTCAACTCTCCCCTCCCTCTCCCCTCCTCCCTCGACTCTCCCCTCCCCCTCCCCCTCCCCTTCCCCCTCCCCCCTCAACTCCTATCCCCCTACCCCTCCCCTCTTCTCCCCTTCTCCCTCAACTCCTTCCCCTCCCCCTCCCTCTTTTTCTTCCCCCCCCCCCAATCCTCTCCCTCCCAGCGGGCAACAGAGGTCGGAATGCCAATGCAAAAGGGAAACTCGGGCTCCGTTGCAATGCTAGTGCAATATGCAGTTTTATATCGCGTGCAATGATCAGCAGCAATCTTCAAAAGAGAGCTATCGATGTTAGCGCGGTGCTCGATGTCAGCCGTGATGTCTAAGACTTCAAAATTACAGAGAAATTTATTACTGTTGTGGATCTTGAACCGATATTTTTTTCTTTTTTTTTCATTTTTTTCGATGTTTGGTTTTACGATCTGTATTATGGGCGGTGTCCTAATTTTCGTCGCGGATTTTTTTTTGTAAAAGAATATTTACTGAGAGAAGTGGGAGAAATCATTTTTTTTTTTTTTATTACGGTATGCCTTCTTTTATTCTTTTTCTTTCAGTTTTGTTTATTTTCTTCAAGCACCTGTCTTGAGTCCTGAGTCCTGAGTCCTGAGTCCTGAGTCCTGAGTCCTGAGTCCTGAGTCCTGAGTCCTGAGTCCTGAGTCCTGAGTCCTGAGTCCTGAGTCCTGAGTCCTGAGTCTGTTGTCTGTTGTCTGTTGTCTGTTGTCTGTTGTCTGTTGTCTGTTGTCTGTTGTCTGTTGTCTGTTGTCTGTTGTCTGTTGTCTGTTGTCTGTTGTCTGTTGTCTGTTGTCTTCTGTCTTCTGTCTTCTGTCTTCTGTCTCCTGTCTCCTGTCTCCTGTCTCCTGTCTCCCGCCTCCTGTCTCCCGCCTCCTGTCTCCTGTCTCCCGCCTCCTGTCTCCTGCCTTGGTTTCTGTCTTTTCATCTAGTTATTCATTCCCATATATTCCCTAACTTTTTCTTGAGCTATCTTTCAGTGTACCCCTCTTTACTCTTCCATTATCTTATTACGTATTCCTCTATGTGTCTATAAATTTGCATACCTTTCTATTTGCCGAACTATGAAAGTCTTCGTTCCTCGTGATAATCTTTTTTTCTTTGCGTCTCTTATCGTTCGTTTCTCCACCCTCTGTTCCTCATCTCCTTCCCCTCTCCACTAACACCCCCCCCCCTCCTCTGAGATTCCCCCCTCTCCTCTGACCCTCCCCCCCCTGTCCTCTTACCCTACCCCCTTGTCCTTTCTCCTCTTACCCTGCCCCCCCCCCCTCCTCTGACCCTCCCCCCTCTCCTCTGACCCTCTCCCCTCTCCTCTGACCCTCCCCCCTCTCCTCTGACCCTCCCCCCTCTCCTCTGACCCTCCCCCCTCTCCTCTGACCCTCCCCCCTCTCCTCTTACCCCCCCTCCTCTCCTCTTACCCCCCCTCCTCTTCTCCTTCCACCTCCTCTGACCCTCCCCCTTCTCCTCTTCTCCTCCTACCTCTCCTGCTTCCCTCCCCCTCTTCCTACTCTTCCCGCACCTCTTCCCCTCCTCCCCCCTCCTTTCACCCTCACCCTCTGCTCTTCCCCTCCCCCATCCCCTCTTACTCTCCCCCTCCTCTTCCCCTCCCCCTACCCCTCTCCCCTCCCTCTCGTTCGCAAATTGTCGCATATTTTGA